ATCAGAAATAACATCAAGAATAGTGCAATCTTGGGATGAAGGAGAGCGATATAGAACAAAGAGAAAGACGATAGAGTGAAGTTGTGCTAAACGAAAGCACATAAATGAATAGTCTGTAGATTCAAACCTAGTTTCACGACAAATGGGTGAGTTCTTACGAATGTAGATGCCCAGGCCAAGCATGTGATTATTGGAGTCTTTACGAATTAAAGGAAGATAACTATCAACACTAAGATCACAAGATGGGACAGCCGAACTCAAATTAGTCTCACAAAGAGCAAGTAGGTCTGGTGAACTTTGCAAGAGATAAGACTCAACAGAAGAAAAGTTACTTCGATGACCACGAATATTAGTAAATGATAGGTTTAGAGAACTTGGTGATGACGATGGTTTTTTGTGTTTTTTAGTTTTAGGTACTTTAGTCATTTTAAATTTATAAAGAACTTGACTCAAGTATAGATAGTACTCAGTACACTATTTAACAACTAAGCAATAGCCTCATTACTATTAATAAACCCTAAGCCGTAACAAAGGGCTCCAAATGTGGCCTCTGCAATGCACACCAAAAGTACAAACAGGGACACCATCCATGCGCAACATGGCACTGTTACTCTGATATTTTTCGGCTGTTGATGGAATCAGCCTCTCTGAGAGCTACCATAGAGTTCGGGAAACCTGACTACCAGCCGGCCTCAGAACCATAAAACTGAGTTTTAGAGCTGTACCCTCATAAGGAGATAATAGAATGAGTTGCCCAGTCATAAAAATAGAGACACAAGCAATACCCACGCATTGAGTCAAGAAGATCCAGCGTTCAACATCCTAAACTGGAAACAATGTATTAAAAATACATCTGCGCCAGCCTAATAGATGAGGAAGGGGTGCGAGGCTGGTCAACAGATAGAATCTGTTTACCCCTTAAGTCTTTGCCTAGGAGGCCTTTTACAAGACAGCAGCTGGATGCATGTAACATCTGCCCAAGATGAGTATTTTTATCGAGACACCATCTCTAGCCTTTACTCAACCAAGAGTCCCAAGGCAGGGGGTGTTTTAATTCGGAGTTAACTTCTCCTAGCCTAAAAAAGCGTATCCTACAAGGCAGCAGGACATGGAGCAGGTTGTACTGGGTTACATGTTACCAGTAGCAGGAAAACCTATATATAAATATATATATATATATATATATATATATATATATATATATATATATATATATATATATATATATATATATATATATATATATATATATATATATATATATATATATATATATATATATATATATATATATATTAGGGTGGTGCTTAAAACAACTTTTTTGAGAAAAACCTGCTGGTACCCCCCTAAATGTGTTTTATCTAATACAAAAACACTAGGTTTAAAATTTTTTTGAACAAAAATTCTTTTTAGGGGTAGCTTAAGGCCCTCAAAAATTTGACGGGTCCCTAATATTTTGAAAAAAAAACTTTTTCTAAAGTATGTCAACCTGGTACTCAAAAGAAGCGATATTATATAAAAACTTCAAAAATAATAATCATTTTACATAAAAAACATGCTTAAAAAAATTATTCTCAAAAAACCTAAAAATATTGACTTTTTTTATTTTTAGCTTAAAAACAATAGTTTTTATGCATTTATACCTGAAAAAATTATTTTTATAAAAAATTATTTTCATTTTTAAATTTTTTATATAATTTTGCTTATTTTGAGTACCAGGTTGACATACTTTAGAAAAAGTTTTTTTTTCAAAATATTAGGGACCTGTCAAATTTTTGAGGGCTTTGAGCTACCCCTAAAAATATTTTTTGTTCAAAAAAATTTTAAACCTAGTGTTTTTGTATTAGATAAAACACATTTAGGGGGTACCAGCAGGTTTTTCTCAAAAAAGTTGTTTTAAGCACCACCCTAATATATATATATATATATATATATATATATATATATATATATATATATATATATATTATATATATATATATATATATATATATATATATATATATATATATATATATATTTATTTTTTATAATACAAATAATAACAAAAATAACTAGCTAATTTGTGAACTATTTTTTAGCTATTAATTTTTGTTTTGTTTTTTAATTTTTTTAAAAAATTAGCTAGTTATTTTTGTTATTATTTGCATCACTTGATTATAGTTTGTTTGTTTGTTTTGTAATTGTGATTAAACAACATCTTATAAAGAATTAATCTTTTTATAAAAATAAAAAAAACTTCTTTTATGAATATAACTCTGTAATTAATTTTTTTGCTTGAATTTACGCTTGAAGCAGTATAACTCTTCAATGTCTTCATTTATATTTATAAGTTTTATTTTGAGAAAAAAGTTTAGTAAAATAATATTTTATAAAAGTTACATCTGCTTTATATAATTAACAGATTGTGTGATATCAAAAAAGTGAAAACAGAAATTTATCTTTAATTTATAAAGAATTTTGAATAAAAAAGTTATTTAAATTTATAAAAAACTTTTCTTAATTTTTCTTGCTCCTTTTCTATTTTTTACAAAAAAATAAATTCCTTGTAAAAATGTTATAACTTATAACACTGCATCAAAAATATTCATAAACCGTACGTTTACCTTTTTTGCCCAAAATTTTAAAATTTGACCCCTTCCCTCCCCCTAAAAATTTTGTGCCCTTTTGCTAATTTAAGAAGCTTTTATTTTAGCAAAACCTAGAGGTAAAATTCGGGAGATTTCAATACCCCAATGACACGTTGTTGTTGCTTTTTTTTTTGGGGGGGGGGGCTTCTGACCCATTGGCCACTGCACAGCTAAAACCTGTTTTTTGTCGATTCAAAAAATAGGTTGCCTGAAACACGCCTTACTCAGGGCCAGTATATAAGGGGTGGCATGTGTGCATGGGCACCTGCAGTATTTTTTTGATGTTCTAGATAGAACACTTTTAGACATTTGGCATAGGTATACTTGAGTTTGGAGCTTGCACAAGCTCCAAACATAAGTATGCCTATGTTAAATGTGTGAAATCTGTGCAAGCTCTAAAACTAAAGTATAACTATGTCTTGGTGATAAGACCAATTATGTCTTCTTCTTGCCCCTGCTATTTGTATTTATATTATGATTTACGACTATAATAGATTTATATAGCAAAAATAAAAAAAAATTTTAAAAAATATATGCCAAAGGAGGAGGCCTTGCAAAATAATAGGAGGCCTGGGAACAAAAAAGCCCTAAAACGCTTGCTCCCCCCCCCCCCTAAGCATGCACAAATGTAGTAAAATTTAAACTTTAACTTCTAAAACTAAATTTAAATTTATTAACAGATTTTAAATTTCGTAGAAAAATATTGTAAATTACAATATACCGTCTAAAACTAAATTTAAATTTATCGACAGACCTTAAATTTTGTAGAAAAATATTGTAAATTACAAAAGTTATGACGATACAAAATTTACACCCCCCCTCATTTTAGATGGGGGGGGGGCATTTTAGGGGGGGGGCTACCAGGCCTTCGCCTTCCTAATTTTTTGCAAGGCCTCCTCATTTGGCATAGATATAAACATACTTAAGTTTGGAGTTTGCACATTGTGTGAAAGTGTCCTATCTGGAACATCAAAAAATCCTCAGGCCTCGATGCATATGTGTGCATTGAGGGAAACTATACCCTCTACTCCCTATACTAAACATCTTTTTATGTTGGTAAACTAGGATCTTCAGTCAGAATTTTAACTTTTCTATTGATTAGCTGGTTAATTGTGATAAATTAGAAAATCGATGTATGTACTTTTAATTTGAACCCTTATATACTTTATACAAGAAAAGAAAGCAATTAATCTATGTTAAAGGATAATAAAAAATGCAATAATAAATTTAATTGTTTAATATTAAAAAAAAAAAATTGAAACAAAAAAAACATTCCACAATATACACATGTATAAAACAACACTTCCAGATTTGTTTTTCTTAATCGTAAAATAAAATTGTTTTGCGGTAATTTATTTTATTGCGGTAGTTAAAAAGGTTAATGTCCTTAAAAAAATAAAAAATAAAGATAATTTTATGACATCAAAATCATGATTTAAAAAAAAATAATAGGCAATAATAGGCCTAGTTTTAAATAAAAAAACAGCTTAGCCTATTAGCTCCTCGTGATTTTGATGTCATAAAATTATCTTTATATTCTATTTATTAAGGACATTAACCTTTTTAACTACCCCAATAAAATAAATCACCGCAAAACAAGTTTATTTTACTATTAAGAAAAATAAATCTTGAAGTGTTGTTTTATACATGTGCATATTGTGGAATGTTTTATTTGTTTCAATTTTTTTTTTTTAATATTAAATAATTAAATTTAATTTTACAATTTTTATTATAAAAAATGTAATATTAAATTTAATTATTTAATATTAAAAAAAGTTTGTAATCAAAGTTGTAAATCATAATATAAATACAAATAGCAGGGGCAAGAAGCAAAAAAAATTCAGGAAGAGACAGATCTCAAACCACAGACATTCCGTTTACGAAGTCAACACCTTATCCAAATAAGCTAAATGTGTGTATAAGTAGGAACAAATAATATACTTATTTTAAAAATTATTCTTGTTGCCATATAAAAAATAAACTTAATTAAAATTAACTAAATTAATTGACTTATTGCAAAACTAGTTATTGAATATTGTATTGTAAGAGTATGTATGCAAAATTTAAAAATAATCTATCATCAGGAAAGACTCAAAAATTGATTTCAAGATTTGATGTTAACAGACATACATCCCCACTGCTTTTATTAACACGAGGAGTTAATAAAAGCAGTGGGGAAAAAAAAGTGCCAAGCATTAGATATAACAATAACAAAAGTACCTTAATAAAAACAGAAAATAAAAGCTATTTGTAAACATGTAATTAAATATTTAAAGAACTTTTATACAAACAATTTTACAATAAAAAACAAAAGACAGAAAATTGCAATCAAAATTTAAATATGAAGATAAAAAACAAAAAAATTCTTACCATAAACCAAAAAGCGCGAGGTGATTTTTCAGAAGATAAACTAACTTCAATTGAGTTTTTAATATTTGTTACATGAAAATAACACACAGCAAAATCTGAGGTAACAGTCTTAAACAAGCCAAAAACTACATATTCATCTTCTTTGCTTTTGAAAATTTTGGCAGCTTGAATTGTTAACTTGACAACTGAAATCGATTTTAAAACTTTATAATCTTTGCCATTTTTACTACATTGAAGAGGTTTCTCAATGTAAAAACCAAAATCATTTTCAGATATAGTCATGCGTATTATTTTTGTTATTGGGGCAGCATTATTACTTTGGTAGACGCTAAAAAAGTATGTAAAATCACCAAACTGCATGATTGAAATAAATTTATACTGATGCTCAATGTCTTTACTAACTCTATTTTTATCGTAACTAAGAGAATAAGGAATTCTCCTTTTGTTTTTATAAATGTTAAGAAAATATTCATTTCCAATATACACAACACGAATTATTTCCTTCATTTCATCTTGCAATTTAACTAAGGTTCTTGCTGATATTAATACTTTGGAACTTCCAAGTGTCATAAACTGGCCTACAAAAGTACCTCCAATCTCATTAGATGCTAACTTCACTAGTTTTGGGCTGAGTGGTAGCTTTAGCTTTGCTAAACTAGTTGCATTAAGAAACTGACACTGACCCTGTAAAGAATTTCCACAGGTCATTAACATGTCTTCTAAATCATTTGTTGAAATTAAAAGTAAGAACTGGTTTTCGTTTGATCTTTTATCATAATACTTTTTTCCTAATTCGTCTGTGCAGTAGTCATCAGTATCTCTATATTGTATACAAGAAACATCATCAGAAAATGGCCCTATTTCTATAGTTCCTGTAGTTTTGAAATTTGAATCTAATTTCAAAATTTTATTTGTTGCACCAACATATATTACACCGTTACTTATAAGAATATTTTGAATTTGCTCAACTTGTTCTAGTTCAATAAAATCGACAATACAGTTTGAAAAGGTGAAAGATAATAACCATGACAATAATAAAAAAACTTTTTCAGCCATTCCTAGTTTGAGTCCAAATTTACTTAATTCAAATTAAGTTATCTGATATCTGGTCACTAAACATATTAACTAAAATGTTCTAAAAATATTAAGCGT